CCCCCCCTCGAAATTCTCATGGTGGTCCACGAGAAGGCCTTACTGGTACATTATTTAAACGGTTATGTTTATTCACATCATGAACTGATCACCATGCTCAATATATCCCATATGCATGGGGGTATTGGGGTAACGATACAAAAGGTTTGCTAGGGTACACCCTCTTTCACTCAGACTCACCCCCCCCCTAACCAAACTCAGCCCCCCCCCCCAAACAAAATCCTGGCTACGGGCCTGAGCTGAACCCTTCTCTTCTAAGCTTGCCATTTGTTTTACAAGAGTCATAAGAGCCTCTCCATATTTAACTAGGCTAGTCTCTTTCCGGGTTTTGTGTGGGTCGCTTCCTTATTTATGTAGCTATTGGTTATGTATGAGAAATTATATTACTTAAAAGTGCTGAATTCTGACATATGGCTTGACAAAGAAGTGAATTTAAAAATCAAGTTTGTTCTCTGTCTCTAGGTGATACAGATCCTCCTCCTGCCATATAGGAAACAAAAGAGCTTTCACTTTGTGTCTTGGTGAATGGCTTGTTTGGTGGCACAAAAGGAGATGCCTTAGTCTTTTGTTTTATAGAGCACAAGCAACAGTCCCATACCGATTGCCAGCATTTCAAAGCTATTGTGACATTCCTTTTGCATTAAGCATACTGGCATCTTTCTAAATACCTTCAATACAAGCAGATGCTTTGAATAATAAATTGCCATTTTTCCATTGCTGTGTTAAAATCCACATTGTGAAAACTGTCTTTTGTGGTGAATATGTTATCAGAATATGGTATCATTCTTTTGCCACGAGGTTTTGTTCCTCTGGCAGGTGGCTCGAGCCTTTACCTTTCTGCCGCTTTTCAAAGTTTGTTCCTGAAATAATGACTAAAATACCTAATTGCCAAAATAATTTCTCCAGTTTGAATCGACTAGAGAAAAATGAAGGCTTTTATCCAGCATTTTTATTTAAGAATTGAAATAGTAAGGTGGAGGCAGGATCTGTTTTCCCAGCACTTTATTCCAATTCAAAGAAGTATTGTAAATCTAGAAATCTACATGTTGCAATTTTTCCTCCTGGTTTACACTGACAGTCCATATACTTAGCACTATCATTAAAAGACCTTGGGTGTAATGTATTATACATTTGAGAATGTAATAACCACTCTCTTTGTTTCTCTTTGAAGACAAAGGACCCTCTGCTCCATCTTTTCCTAAATGACTACAATACGTTTTTCACTGTGACTCAGACTGGAATAATACGCTACCTCACCTTACTTCAGCCAGTTGACAGGGAGCTCCAACAGCTATACACTTTTTCGGTAAGCAATAGGGTACAATAGAGTAACAAAAGAATTTCTTTTTTGGGGGGAGGGGGCATTTCTTTCAGATATTGCAGGATAATAAATGTTTAAAGAGGAATATATTTGCAATTGAAAATAAAATGGTTAGACATTTTGGGAACATTATTTCATGGGATCAGAGAATGTAAAGAGGCCTCTAAATTTATTTATTTATTTAGAACATTTATATTCCTACCTTCTCACCCCGCAGGGGACTCAGGGTGGAACACAACATATATACCGCAAACATTCAATGCCGGGACATAAACCCATCAATATTTACAAACATTAAAATCACTTACATTCACATTAAAAGTTGCTTAAAAACCACCTCAGGACACTGTTTTGCCTCACTGCACTGCCCCAAAGGCTTGGTCCCATAGCCAGGTCTTCACCATCCTTCTGAAGGACAGGAGGGAGGGGGCTGATCTAATATTGCCAGGAAGAGAGTTCCATAACCGGGGGACAATTTTTTATTTTTTTTATTTTACAGTATTTATATTTCACCCTTCTCACCCCGCAGAGGACTCAGGGCAGATGTACATATACATGGCAAACATTCAATGCCATAGACACACAACATATATAGACAGACACACAGAGGCTATTTAACATTCCAGCTTCTGGCTGCCAGGAGAGCTGTTGCTTCACCATCCATTGTGACACTGATGAAGTACTTTCCTCATTCTTTGCAAACTTCCTGGAGATTGTATGGCCTTGTAAATCAATTAAAATTAGCGACCCCACATAAGTGGTACCTAAATTTCCTACGTGACAGATGCAACTGTCTTTCGGGCTGCAAAGGTCGACAACAAGCTACACAATTTTGGAAATTTGCAGATTGAAAAACATTTTCATATAATCAGGAGCCAGCATTCTTAAATAGAGATTAATGCACCCATTCTCATGCCTGCTATATATCTACTAGTAATCTAACCTATAGTAGATGAAAAGACCCAAAGAAAAGCCAAAAAGATGACTGTGTGGGAAAGCTTTTTCTTTCTATTGTAATTTACTGGGTTCTATTCATACGTGAAATAGTTTGGGAAGAATTCTTTGGAGAATTATTTTGCCATGTGTGATCTATGTATTCATGTTTGTTGTGTGTGCACAACAATGTATATGAAGAAATCATAGAAGTCAAATTCATTACACTAAATATGTTTACCTAACTGTATTGCTTTTCTTAAACATTTTCTTATGTCTTTCCGTCTTGAAGATGACAGCTTCAGATGGTGTGCAAGAAAGCCTCCCCGTTACAGTCAGCATTTTTGTGATTGATGCAAATGATAACTCCCCAACTTTCTCCAACATATCATATAATGTCAAGATTTACACAGATATGAGGCCGGGAGAAAGTGTTATCAAGGTAATCAATTGGTTTATTATTATTTTATTTTTCAACCTGCTACTCTGTGAAACCTGTAAGAGAACAGACCAAAAGGAATGGTCTAAACAATTGAAGCACATCTTTAGGATCCTGACAGTGGCATGATTTAGGATACTTATCTTCTGAAATACAGAACATCTGATAGTGGGTTAGCTGCTATGTTTCCCAGCTGAACTGATGCTTCAGTGACTTATCCAGACAAGCGATAACTCTTCTTCTTCCCTAATAACATGACTCTTCTCCAGTGACCTGAAAAAGTCCTGCAGTAGCAAAATCAGCAGATGCATTAGCAAAACATTAGAATATGTCTCCATCATTTAATTATCTGTTCAGATAGACATATGTTTACTACAACAAGAGAGTACTTATGGTAGGGATGGTACTTAATGTGCCATCACCAAGACCAACTACTGCTTCATTTCCTCTGTCTTACTTCCTTTTCTAGTTTCCCACTGCTCTAAAGTGATTTTACTCCCATTCTATTAGTGCTCCAATATAAGCAGCTTGACAGCATATTGGGACTACCACTGTCTTTGTAGACAGTATTCACTTATGCAGTTTATGAGAATGGAACTTGTGTACATTAGGGTTGTATACAAGGGCATTCTGAAAAGTTTTGGTATGATCATACAGGTAGAAAGCAATACTGAATTTGAAATGTGTTTTAAATGTTGGGTTTTAATATGTCTTTCATTCTTTTTGGATTAATCAACTGTACTTGGGCATTCACACACACACATACACCTCATCCTCCTGGCTGTTACTGTAAAAACAAGTATAGAGAACATGTAGTTCACTGAATGGCCAAAATAATTCTTATGTGTGACAACTAGTCCAAACTAATGCATGTATATTAAATAGAATCCCCATTATGTCTCATTCCCAAATAGGTATGCCCAGGGTGACATTGCTTGGTATCAAAGCACTTCCAGATATGTTTTTTTTATTATGCAATGTCCTTTCCTGAAATGGGGACTTGTCATCTTACTCTTAGTTTTCTACAGTTATAAAACTGATATAAGTATATGAAGCAATGTAAAATAGTAAAAATCAACCAGAAATAGACAATAACAAAAAATACTTGATTATTCTCAGACGCCTTTTCACTACTCACCATTTCTATGTCTCCATGTTTCTCCTCTTCTCATTCTCCTTGTTTCTTTCTCCTCCTTATACATTCTTGCTTATCACAATGTATAAAGCCATTGTAGTGTAGTGATTTGGGTGTGGGATTATGACTCTGTAGACAAGGATTCAAATCCCTGCTAGACCATGGAACTTCACTGGTTGAGTTTCGAAAGAAAGGAGATTCCATCTGAACATGAGGTAGAACTTCCTGACTGTGAGATGTTCAGCAGTGGAACTCTCTGACCGGGAGTGTGGCAGAGGCTCCTTCTTTGGAAGCTTTTGAACAGAGGCTGGATGGCCATCTGTCGGGGGTGCTTTGAATGCAATTTTCCTGCTTCTTGGGAGGGGGTTGGACTGGATGGCCCATGAGGTCTCTTCCAACTCTAGGATTCTATGAAAGTCACATTCTTTCAGTCTCGGAGTAAGGCAACAACAACACATCTCTGAACTGATCTCACCAAGAAAACATCATGATAGATTTTCCTTTTGGTTACAATAAGTCAAAAAGACTGGAAGGAACACAACAACTACAATAATATATTGCCTTCCTACTAATGCCATGTTACAGTTGGAGAAGGAGAAATGCACACCACTGATGTCATATCCCTTCTTGTTTTGAATAGATGTTAGAAAGAAAAAAAGGAAAGGCAAGAGCCAAAGCAACTCTATTGACTCATATATTTAGTCTCCAGCATTGCATTGGTTGAAATGTAAAACTAAATAAGAAATGAGACTTGGTGCATCCAAGGATCCATTATGATGGATGTCCCCTACTGCTATCTCTGTTATTCACACTGGGTATCATATTAGAGAAATGAACATTTACATTAAGAGTCTTCATTGTGAAACTTAACTTTCAGATCTGGTCTTCATATACAACTGTGTTGCTATTCTCTGACTTTATTTTATTTTATTTTTTGCAGAAGTAGTTCCTTAATATATTTTCCCTCCCTCAAGCCATAGATCTTTTAATCACTTCTTACTGCAATTATACATTCACCGGAATGCACAATTTCAGACTGGTAATTTTGTTGTCTTATAATTGGATGGCAAATTCTTGTACATGTCTTTGAAGATAACAGCCCATCTTGTGTATATTTTTATTTACCACAGATTATTTCTCTAAGGCTGTTGACTATTTTCCTATTGCTGTCATTCAAACATATGGAAATGTATTCATTGATTCCAAAGGAATCAAAACAAAAAACCTTTCAGGCTGGATCTACACTGCCATATAATCCAGTTTTGGAATGCAGATTAAATGCATTGAATTAAATTACAAGCCATCCCAGAGTTACAAACATCTGACTTACAAATGACTTATAGTTAAAAACAGGGGTGGAACAACATGAAATGAGAGAAATCTACCCCTCAGAAGAGAAATTCATTTCTGAAAAGTTATCATGGAGAAAAAGTATCTCCACTGAAGCTTTGTCACCAATCCTTCTTTCTGGATTGTTGTAGGTTTTTTCGGGCTGTATGGCCATGGTCTAGAAGCATTCTCTCCTGACGTTTCGCCTGCATCTATGGCAAGCCTACTCAGAGGTAGTGAGATCTGTTGGAACTAGGAAAAAGAGTTTATATATCTGTGGAATGACCAGGGTGAGACAAAGGACTCTTGTCTGCTGGAGCTAGGTGTGAATGTTTCAACTGACGCCCTTGATTAGCATACAATGGGCTGACTGTGCCTGGAGCAAACTTTTGTTGAGGGGTAATTAGATGTCCCTGCCTGCTTCCTCTCTATTGTTGTGCTGTTGCAATTTTAGAGTTTTTTAATACTGGTAGCCAGATTTTGTTCATTTTCATGGTTTCCTCCTTTCTGTTGAAAATCCTTCTTTCCACAACAAGCCAAACTTTCCAAAATCCAATAATCACAGGGACATAAAAAGAGGTGAAATTTTCTTAACAGGGCCACAGGCAGCAAAACAAACACTATGCTATCCAAAGCATGTGTGGGAGTGTTTGATTGGAGTTACACTTAAAAATTGTACCTGTTCCGACTTACAAACAAATTCAGTTTAAGAACAAACCACCAGAACCTATCGTGTTTGTAATTCAAGGACTGCCTGCATATGAGTCTACACTACTATATAATGCAGTTCAATGCCATTAATGTTCATTCTGAAACTGGATTATATACCAGTGTAGATCCAGTCCCATTCAATTCTTAATGCAATTAGTGTAAGTGATGGCCATTATGCCACCCTATGTTTACAAACCTGGAGCAAAGCGCTAAAAACCTATCTGCAGCTGAAAATATTTAGCTTAGTTCTTGTGGGTTTTTTTCGGGCTATATGGCCATGTTCTAGAGGCATTTCTCCTGACGTTTCGCCTGCATCTATGGCAAGCACCTCTGAGGATGCTTGTCATAGATGCAGGCGAAACGTCAGGAGAAATGCCTCTAGAACATGGCTCTATAGCCCGAAAAAACCCACAAGAACCTAGTGATTCCAGCCATGAAAGCCTTCGACAATACATTTTCCTATACTTGTCACTTCAAAAAAGAATTTAATGAGATTTGATTATAGAAGTACAACTCAGGAAAATTGTACTGTTAAAAACAAAATCATTTTTAGTCTTCTCTATGGTGTCATGTTTGGAAACTATGCCGGGATTTGTTACTGTATTCAAAAATGATTTGATTATTCAAGTAAAGAGCAGCAAAAATGACTACTAATGTAGATGAATAGCCTTTGGTATCTTCATTTGCCATGAATGACATTTGGAGCACCATGAGCTTATCATATTTTTGGTAGTCATTGAAAGCAAAGAAAGAGATAAAATGTGGAGCTGACAAGGCACAGTATTTCTTCAACAGAAATACTTAAACTGATGAGGTGTCAAGAAGTCATAACCTTTCATTGTTGAAGCAACTGACCAACGTGGCTGTAAAAATGAAAAGAAATACATTAGGCCAATCTCTTTCTTGAAAGTTAAAGGTGCAAGAAAAGTCTTTTTTACCTAAAAGAACATTTCTCTAGCAATTTCAAGGTCTCCCAAAACTAGGTGATCATAGTTGCCTGAAGAAACTAGAGAGAACATATTCAACAAATTTGCAAGTATTCAAATCTGCAAACATTAAACCCACAAATGTGGAGGCTTATGTTTACACCTTTATGACAGCTGACGGCAAACAAAATATCAAGACTTTCACACATATTACTGATATTTGTGTGTGTATGTGCATATGTGTGTATATGTGTATGTGTGTGTGTGTGTATATATATATATATACACACACACACATACATACATACATACATACATACACGCTTTGGATAATTACAGAATCTGTGGATATAGAGGACAGGCTTTAGAATTGTTCTTGTCAAGACCCAGAAGCCTCAAGAAAGCCAAACACAATATAAAAGGTCCAAACACAGGTTTATTGAACACAAAAAAGGCATAGAGACACTTGCTTCAGTGTCTCTAGCACAAACTCAAAGTTTGTAGCAACCGCTAAGTAAAAAACCCAACTTAAATATAATACAGATTATCCCGGAGTATAATCTGGGATAACAGAAATATGCAGCAATTATGTAATTCAAAATGTCCAAAAGACACCAGAAAACAATGTGGGAGCAAGCAAAATCAGAGTCCAAAAGCAGTCCGTAGTCCAGGCACGTCCGAAGTAAGAAGAAACAGTCCAAAAAGCGTAGTCGTTGTCAAAACACGGTCCAGAGTCAAACAGGGAGAGTTGTAGTCAGCACTTACAAAGTATCAGCCAGAAGTCACAGAAACACGAAGATCTGTAGTCCAAGGACCCAAGCTTGAAAGTAATAACAGGAACAAAGATACACACACGAAAAGACACTTTACCTTCTGCAAAGACCTATTGAAACCAAACCAAC